ACACACACACACACACACACACACACACACACACACACACACACACACACACACACACACACACACACACACACCCCTCTCTCTCAGGTAGTAGGGATGTCCCATGGATTAGAGAGTTACTCATTAAAGCCAGTAGCAGGAATGATATGAGTTTGAAGAAGCATAGAAAATACAGTCTCCCTCGCTGGATACAAATCCAGGTCTTGGGGTGGATTTATCCTAGCCTTAGCTAATGTGACAAAGTTCCTCCTCTGCCTTGGTGGGTCCTGCACTTACTGGCAGATTTGCTCGCCTCAGAGATTCACAGCAGCCCTCAGTTTGGCCACTTTGGCTAGTGGCTCAAACCTGCCGTTCACTCAACTAACCTCATCACTGGCCGGCATGGGGAAAAGGAAGGAGAACAATCCTCACAGTCTCTGCTGATCCACCTAGTGGGTCGAGGGACAGGCCAGGGACCTTCCCCTCTGGTGAGGCCCACAGTCCAGGTCAATTTCTCCTGTATCCAATAGGGAGTTGGGGAGATGGGGGGAGCCCAGGCCTGCCCTCTATTCCGGGTTCCAGCCCAGGGCCCTGTGGATCACAGCTGTCTACAGTGTTTCATGTAACACCTGTGTGACAGCTACAACTTCCTGGGCTACTTCCCCATGGCCTCCTCCCAAAACCTTTATCGTTACCACAGGACCTTCCTCCTGATGCCAGATAGCATTTGTACTCCTCAGTCCTCCAGCAGCACACCCTCTCACTCTCAGCTCCTTGCACGCCCCTCACTGACTGAAGTGAGGTCCTTTTTAAACCAGGTGTCCTAATTAGCCTACCTGCCTTAATTGGTTCCAGCAAGTTCCAGGTTGTTCTGGAACCGCCCCTGTTACCTTACCCAGGAAAAAGGGACCTGCTTAATCTGAGGCTAATATATCTGCCTTCTATCACTCTCCTGTAGCCATCTAGCCCGACCCTGTCACACTAACAAATCCCTAACCAGGTTGTCCAAGGGAAGAGACACTTTGATTGATGAGGTTTAAGAGTTTAGATGGGCCCAAAAATAACTCCCCACCCATCTGAAAGCATATACGATTCCTGCCCCAAACCATTTGTGCACAGGGCCAGACTGAGAATTTTGGGGAAGTTCAAGACAGTTCATGGGATACAATCCAAAGGTCATTGACTCCTATCGTGAAAAAAGTGTCTGTGGGAAGAGAGGAGGTTTTGGTCCCCACCACCCCACAGTGGCCTGCTGCAGAAGTTAGAGCCCTGCAGCTGTTCCCTACATCCCTAATTCAGACTATATATATTTGCATTTTCAAGGCTGTCTTTGCAAGGCACGGGGCTAGAAACTTTTTGTTCAACATGGAAGCTGAGTATTCTATGTGTAGTCCCCAAACACGAGCCCCATAATCCATCCCTTCTACAGAAAATCCTCTGGCAGAATCCCGAGGCAGGGAAATTCCATGAAAATCCAGAGATTTTTTTCCCCCAAATTCCTTCAGTGGAGTGGGAGCAAAGTGTAACATGCTCCACTCTAGAGGTAGTCACGTCTGGCCACCAGAATTCATGGATCTTCTGAGATTTCTGAATCTCGGGGATCTGCAGAAGGGCACAGGGTCGTACATCCGGAAGCCTCTGCAGTGGCTATAGCAGGGGTGGCCAAACCGCGGCTTGTGAGCCGCATGCAGCTCTTTTACAATTGAAGTGTGGCTCGCGGAGCCCCCCACAGCTCTTCTCCCCCCATTCTCCACCTACCAGACTTGGGTGGAGGGGAGCTCAGGGCTTCTGTTTCAGCCGGAGCGGGGCTGAAGCCCCAGGCCCTGACAGGTGCCTCCCGCAGGGCAGAAGCCACGAATCCCAGCAGACACACCCTGTGGAGCTGAAGCCCTGCACCCCAGCAGGTGCACCTGGCTTTTGAACTTCTGAAGATTATCTTATGCAGCTTAGAGGGTCAGTAAGTGTGGCCACCCCTGGGCTATAGCCTTCTATAGCTCCCTGGCAGCATGACTGCGTTGCTTTTTCTACCTGCAGCAGCCAATGGCACACTCCTTAAAGGGGGATTCACCAGCACAAAAGAGGCTCGGTATTAAAACTGATGTCCCCTCTGGCTGTACTAACACACCTGTAGAATTCCCATAGGCTGCCAATGGAAAATGCACCATCCCTCTCATCCATCCTTACACACAGTCCCAGAGACAAATGGAACTGTGCCATGGAGGTGTCTGATCCCCACTTCCATGGGGCCAGGAGCAGATACACCGTAGGTGTATCTAAGAAGTGTAATCTGGCCCTTTATGACTAAGACCAGTATTGTGTATCTGGCCAGGGATGATAGACCACTTTGGAGAGGAATGTGGAGTAGATGCCTGAGTTTCCAGTGCAGAAGCCCTGTGGATGCAGGAACTAACCAGTCTGAAAACCATTGAACCTATCTCTAGTTTCACTTCTTTGGCACAGATGGGCCCTCACTTCCAGAAGAATAAACCTGGGGATAACGCATTTGGTTTGCCCCACAATTACTGGTTTTATCTTTATTTTCAGGTGAACCAACACAGCATGCATAGTCACTTTCATCCTGCACTGGCTCCGGTCATCACTACCTTACAGAACTTTGTCAGCACCAAGAGGCTGTCGGCAGATGCATCTCAGAGAAATTCAGGTACAAACTAGAGAGAGAGATGCCAAAATCACTGTGTGTGTTATTCCTCAGAGACACGAACCTCTGCTATGCTGGTTTAAAAATAAAGTCCTATATTAGCTGAATCTGGTTTCCTTATCCATCTCCCACAAGATTTATTCTGACATTCCAAACCCCCTGAGCAGCTTCCAGCAAATGCCATTATTTTTAAGTAAATTTCCAGAGAAATGTTTCCTTCTCTAAATATAGACTTCCCACTCCCCTCCCCAGTTTCCCTTACCTGAGGCCCAGAATAGGCAAGATTCTTTCCTATGTTAATAACACTTACTTCTATCCCTGAGAGGGCCTGAAATATTGCCATTTCTTTGCCATGCCTTCCATAATTCACTTCCAGCTTTGCAACTCATTAGCAGTGTGCCCATCCCAAACTCAGGCTGAGAGAACCTTTATACCCCCATAGTACCATTCTGTACTGTATTTGTGTGCAATATAATATAGATATCATCTGTAGAGAAAATTACTTCTATATATTAATCAAAATCATTAACTCTTGAAAGAGACTGATAACATTAATCTTCAGAAACATATCTGATATATTTTAATTAAAGCCAACACAGTTACTGAGAAATCCTTTCTAGAGACTTACCCGTCAAAACCCTGGATCTGAATATTCAAACGTTGAGGCCATTTAGCTCCAGTTTCATATTTTTTGCTTCTAGACCATCTCCAATTCTTTCATACAATTTTAGTGCTTTTTAGCTGGCACTGTAGCTAATTGTCTGCCACGAGGAATCTGTGCCAGCCAGACTGATTAACTGGATGTCTATTATTTACTAATACAGCACAAATTAGAAAAGGAAATCAATAGAACTTTAGCAGGCACAAACCAGACCTATACAGTACCCTTTGTGGTGGGGACACTGATTTATGAATAATAAGCTGATCTTTAATGGAGTGCAACACACAATAGGTCTATATTCCCTAGGCCAGCAAAACACTGCTATTTAATAGATTATGTGAGCAACTGCTGCGTACAATGGATGTCACAATGGCATCTATCAAACAGAGTGATTGTATCCATGTTTATCACTTGATGAAACAGAAATCCTGTCCTTGTCACATGATCAGCGCCCGAAAGGGCTCTGCTTTGGTCCGTGATAACTTTGGCTAGTCAGCCAGAGATCATTGTCACCTGACAGTGTTATCTTTTAATTATATTATCTCTTAATTACAGAAGCTAATGGTTTGTTTGCTTTTTAGTAGGAGCAGATATGGACCTGAGGACTGTGGAGATAATGAGGGTCAGTGAGTTATTTTCTGAAAGGTGTTGTTTCCAACGATAGCTGTTAATTTTTCACTACTTTTTGGCATGCAAAACTGCATTATTATTTAATTGGTGTTGGCACTTTATGGTTTTAATTCTAGCTAGATATGTGAGGTGTTGTTACTGAATTAAATATGTCCAACCTGCCTGGGTATCTCAGGTTCTTTTACAGGCTTGGGGCCCTATCCTGCAAACACTTGCTACCAGGCATAGTTCTCTGTACAATGTGGCTGCTTATAGTAAGTGTATAGTAAGCCCCATAGTAATGTGTAAAGAGGACCAGACTGTCGCCTAACAGAACTGTTGTCTTGAATCACTGAGTGCAGATGGGGACTATATATATATAGACACACACACAGCTATACATTGTTACACTGTGAATTGTTTTGATATGTTTCTTCCTTTTAGGGACCAAATGATGCCCTTGGTATCAGTATAGCAGGAGGGAAGGGAAGCCCATTAGGAGATGTTCCAATCTTTATCGCCATGATTCAAGCCAGTGGAGTAGCAGCACGTACCCAAAGGCTCAAAGTAAGTGGAAGGGGGAATATATATCACCTCCTCTAGTATTCACTATTTTATCTTGTGCTCGTTTAGAAAAGGAGCTCTCAAACATTTCTAAGTGTGGATCACTCCTGGATAGGCACCTTGTCTCCTAGACCCTCTCCCCTCCCATTCATGGTCAGAGATGGCCGGTGCCTGCTGCTGCTGAGTGCAGTACATCCCTGTGACAATTACATTGATTGTCTATGTGAAAATGTAACATTCCGGAAGTATTTAAATGTATTTGCAACAGTCTCTTAATGCAGTCCAGTAGCTGGGAACAGAGGGGAAAGTCAGCACTACATGACCAGTCAGCTCTCTGCAAGGATCAGAGGCAGTTGCTTCACAGGCCATAGGTGGTCCATGGACAACTGGGGCACCCCTTAGATCTTATACAAAACAAAAACTCTGGCAACACGTAACTGATTTTAAATTGAAACTGACTTTTTCAGGTGCCAAAACAAAAAAAATGACACTTTAAATTCAAAAGACTGTTGCTATTATGTTTCAGTTTTTGATGAACTACTGTGTTGAACATCCCACAATTATTGGGTAGACTTTCAGGATAACTATCATTATTAAAATGATTGCAGTCTATAAGTACTTACGTGAGGAACAAAAATGAGGGAATGGGCTCTTCAATCTAGCAAACAAAAATATAACAAGATCCAATAGCTGGAAGTTGAAGCTAGACTAATTCAGACTGGAAATAAGATGTAAATTTTTAATAGTGAAGCGTAACTAACCATTGGAACAACTTATCAAAGTTGTGGTGGATTCTCCATCACTTGCAATTCTTAAATCAAGACTGAATGTTTTTCTAAAAGATATACACTAGTTGAAATAACTATTTCGGGGAAATCCTACATTATTGCTATACAGGAGGTCCGACTAGATGATCTATTCCTGGGGGAATTCTGCGCTCAATATTTTAAAATTCTGCAAAGTTCTGCATATTTTATTTGTCAAAATAACACAATATAATCATGCCAGTTTCAATTATTTTGGTAATTTTTTTCAAAATACCTGTCAGCAAGTATATCTGTAATAATATAGACCAAAAAAAAGATTCAGAAAATATTTTTTTTTTTGACAAATAGATTCCTTACTATGCAACTTAATACAGAACTTTGAGTAATTTGTTTAAACTACAATACAGAAACATATTTATTGCACCCCTTAGAAGCAGTATAAAGGCTTGGGGAAGTCAGGGGTAGTGGAGGAGCTGAGGGAGAGGGAAAGAGCCCAGGAATGAACCTGGAGGGTTGTTGGGTGTGGGTGGGAGAAGTAGGAAACAGGTTTTTTGGTGGGGGATTGTTAGGGAGTTGGGGAGCCTCCCCCATGCAGATCCTGACTGACACTCTAGCTTCTCCCATTCATTCAGTCAGGCACATCTACCCCTGTCCTTATATGCCCCTGTGTGCCCCTGCACCCTTTTACCCCCTTGTCCCCATGTGGCTCTGCAACCCTCTATCCTCCACATTCTCATGCGGCCCTGCAGTCCCCCCACCCCCCCATTCAGCCCCTGGCTCAATGCTGTCACCCCACTAGCTCCTGTGCCCCCACCCAGTCTCTCCCCCATCACTAGCTCTTCTGAGCATCAGTCTGTGAGCCGCCCCACTCTCTGTTCTCCCCCTACACACACCCACACACACCCACATCCTGTGCCTCCTAAACTGGCTCCACGGGCAGGGTGGTGTGATGAACACAGCCGGATGCTGTGGCAGCGGCCTCTGGTGTGTGAAAGGCAGAACTGCAGCACTTCTGGGGAGGGAATATATTTTATGCACAGGGGAAAAAAAATTCTGCACATATGCAGTGGTGCAGATTTCCCCGAGGAGTAATGATCACAGTGACATGTCTGCACTGCAGTTAAATACCTGTGGCTGGCCCATGTCCACTTGGGTTAAGGGGCTGTTTAATTGCAGTGTTGACACTTGGGCTCAGGCTGGAACCTGGGCTCCAGGACCCTCCCCACTTGTGGGGTCCCAAACCCCAGGCTCCAGCCCAAGCCTGAACATCTACACTGAAATGGAACAGTCTCTTAGCCTGAGACCTGCAAGCCCAAGTCAGCTGACACACCAGCTGTGGGTTTTAAATTGCAGTGTAGATATATCAAAGGACCCCTTCTGGCCTTAGAAGCTATGAATCATAATCTATGGAAATTACCTACTTGAAAGAAGAATATACATAATATGCACAGGAAAGCCATGGCTCTGATCCTGTAATGAGATCCACTAGCATAGACCTGTGCTTAACGGAACTCTGCAAGGGTGCTAAGGCCTGGTATATCAGCAGCATACGTTTTTATTAGACTCAAAAACTTATATATTTACTCATTTATGAATTAATATGGATAGCGTCTGCTTTCTTATATTACAGTTAAAACACACACCTGCACCCCTCTCCTTATCCATGTATGTGGACATACATGTGGCCTTTCCACATGGAATGAAAATGGTTGGTTGCTAATGTCATTCTCCTTACTTGCAAATGTAATCAATAGACTGTGACCTCTCTTTGTTTATCTGGGCTGTTATTTTTTAAGAAATGTGCATTATCCTTACTCTGAAGAATGCTGAATGATCAGTGGAAATACAGAATCCTCACAAAAGACATACTGTATATGAGAAGCATGAGTCTGCAGTGCCAATTTCATAAGGAATTTTAAGCATCCTTAAATTTAATTTTCCTTAATGCTAGTAATTTTCCATTACTGTTGTACTTTTAGGTTGGAGATCGGATTGTCAGTATTAATGGGCAACCTTTGGACGGGCTGTCTCACGCTGATGCTGTTAATCTACTAAAGAATGCTTATGGGAGCATTATCCTGCAGGTATGGCGATAAATTGAACATGCAGCTGCATGAGGGTAGATAAGTGGTGTTCAAAAAAGACTAAGCATCAGTGGCACAAGACATCACAGCGCAGTGGGGTGCTTCTTGATGTCAATTATACAGGATGAAAGCAATAAATTATTATTTTCATTCAAAAATTCTTTATTGCCACCCATACAGACTGTGAGTATGATTATATAAAAGCATAACAGGGGGAACAAAATGACTTGTTGCTACACATGATAAAGCAACAAAGCTTTTAGCTTCCAACACTTTTTTTTTTAAAAGTAAGCTAGCTACAAACATGGAATGACTCCTTTTCTTGTGCTGCTAGACTGGGACTGAGCTGTCCAAAGTGTTAATTTCTTTGTTCGTGGAAGTGAAAAAAACCTAAAACTCTAGTTGGGTTTGGTATAAATTATTACATCTCAATTCAATATATTAGTGTGTAGGACTGATTATCAACCAAATTACAGTACTTGGGTACACCACTGATAAATGTGGCAATTAAGAGTAAAAAAAAAACTATTGAAGAATGTGTAGTTTTTATTTTTGATTACAGCAGCCCTCTTCTGTTTCTCCAATATACACAACTTGAACCTGCTAAGAGGAAAATACTGGATACAAAAATCTCGTATATAAAAGCTAAGGGTTTTTTCTCTCACATTCACAACTGCTAGATAGCTTAGAATTTGCTTAATTTCTCTCACATTTTGTATTTTTATTCTCAATACAATGCAGTCCTTTTCCACAAATAAAAAAAAGTTCCTTTTGGGAAACTAAGAAGTTATTTTTTATAATACAATTAGGTAAACAAAGTATTCAGGTATATTAGTGGTGGCTGTAAGTATGATGAACAGGAAATGATTATATTAATGCTAAGTATTGGTACTTTTCATTACTTTTTTATTAAAACAATATAAGTGGAATAGTTCTATCAGGCTGATAATCATGACTGACATGTCATTAAGTAATTGTATTTATTATCAAGTTAGACCACCTCATGGCAAACTGCACTGAAAGGTCAGATAATTGTGTTCACTGGGGTGGAAAGGCTTATTATCGGGATGTCCTGGGAAGGGTGTTAAAGGAGTTTGCAAATGGAAGATTAGGTTCTCGGGGGAACAATCGTCCCTTCCGGCTGTTTTGATGCTTCGGTTTAAATTAATCTGCTTTCTGCAGGTGTAGTAATGAGATAAGAAGCTTTTTACAAGGTTGTTGAACTCTGATACATTCTTACTGCCACAGATTTGTGAATATAGATTTATTTTGCCATCGGGTTTTATTTAACAAGGAAATACGACAACTTTCCCCCCTGCTGGAATATTAGAATACATTTATTTACAACAGCTTCTAACTTCTGAACTATGTGCAATTCTGCTGTTGCCCTGATGACCCCAAAAGGGGTGAATTATGAGCCTGAAACCTAGAACGTGAAACTCACATTAAAATTGTGGCATTCTGGTTTTTGCTTGAGGATTTTACTAAGGGTACGTCTATACTTACCTCCGGGTTCAGCGGTAAGCAATCGATCTTCTGGGATCGATTTATCGCACCTTATCTAGACGCGATAAATCGATCACGGAAGTGCTTGCTGTCGACGCCGGTACTCCTGCTCCGCGAGAAGAGTACGCGGAGTCGACTGGGGAGCCTGCCTGCTGCGTGTGGACCTGCGGTAAGTACTTTGTAGTTCGAACTAAGGTACTTTGACTTCAGCTACATTATTCACGTAGCTGAAGTTGCGTATCTTAGTTCGAACTGGGGGGTTAGTGTGGACCAGCCCTAAAAATCACTGTTTGATGGGTTAGGACAGGGGTTCTCAACTTTTTTTTTTCCTGAGCCCCCTCACCCCCCCCCATCATACTATTAACAACTCTAGGGTCCAGTGGGGAGCCTCGCAGCTCTGGGCTTCAGCTGCCCGGCAAAGGGGGCTTGGGGTTTTAGCCCTGCGGGATTCCAGGCTTCGGCCACCGTGGGGAGGGGAGGTCTTGGGCATAGATGTACTTTGATTTCTGTTGGGGGTGGGGGGGCAGAGCCTGGTGGGGTATGGGCCAGCTCTGCATGGCAGGGCCCTGGGAGGGAGTGCCACCTCCACCCCCGACTCACCTCAGCAAGCCACCAAGCCAGTCTGGGTTGTGGGAGGAGGGCACAACCAAAAATTGTAAGTCAAAGCAGGGTGGGGAGGGTCAGCTCAAAAAGTCTGAAAACCTCTCGAAGTGCAGGCAGGGGGTAGCTAGGAGCTGTGTGCAGGCAGTTGGGAGGGGCACAGGGCGTAGGCAAGGGATAGCTTGGGGCTATGTTTTGGAAGGGGACACCCCTCCCACAGCGTCTGCTCCCTGAGGGCTCTACCACCCCTGGCGCCAGCTCCACCTGCCCGGGCGGCTCTTATCGGCTGCACAAGCAGTGAAAGGGGGCTGGATGCTGAGGAGCAGCTGCAGGCACCAGCCAGGAGCACCGCCAGCTTTTTTGCCGCCCTAGGCAGCGGAAGGTCCCGCCCCCGAAATACCGCCCCCCGACAGAGGCGGTGGAAGGTCCCGCCCCTGAAATACCGACGACGACCGGGGCGGCTGAAGATCCGGCCGCCGCGGTCGCGCCCCCCAAATGTTAGCCCCCTAGGCGACTGCCTAGGTCGCCTAATGGGTTGCACCGGCCCTGGCACCAGCAGCAGCAGGAGATGGGGGAACACCACAGCTGCCTGTTCCGTGGCATCAGGCAGAGCAGCAGCTGCCCTGCACTGCCGGGCTCCAGCTACCTGTCTCTGACCTGGCCAGGCGTCTGAGAAGCAGGTTTGCTGTCTCCTGGAGTCATCTGAATCGTGGCTGTAGAGTGCTCACCCAGGGAAAGTGAAAAGCGAAAGCTGTTCACTAATGCGTGGCCTTTACTAGCTAATGTAGAGAGGCATTTCTGAGCTCCACATTTTTACATGGCTCCTTTACATGGCCCACAGAGAATAAAATACGTTGCAGGAATACAGACAGTGTCTAGAAGAGAAGGGGAGATACTTTATTGGAGACAAGGCATATAAACCGAGAACTTGAAAGAATGGATTGAGTTGAAGCCCTCTATACTTCTATGTTTCACTGAGAAAGTAAATCATCCTTGAATTTAGCTTCACCTTACATTTCACCTTTCATGTCACTGGTTTCATCTAAAGTATTGAATTCCTGTGTGTTCTGTACCCTACTACTGTATGTGAATTGCCCACATAGCGATGGTAGTTGAATTTGTGTTTGTGGGTGAGATTACCCAGATATAAGGTGTAGAGGGAGGAGGAGACATTAGAATTTGTGGGGGCAGAAGGATTAAAATGAGGGCCAGATTTGCTCCCTCCAATGAGAAATAAACAAAAAACCCAGAGATATGGGGGAAAAGAAGAGAAAAATTGAGATCTCCATTCAGTAGCTTCCAACAGATTGGTCCTTTGGAAGGTTAGAGTTATTTTGCTCTACAGGATGAGTAGGAGTTTCAGCCTCATGGATGCTTGTATCTCTGGGATTCACCAAAGATCAGGGCCTTCGGTTAGATTGCCTTTGCTTCATACCAGCTCTGATGCCCCATTTGTGTCCCTAAGACCTTCCTAACAGCTCTGGGGCACCATTATGTCCCCCTGATGTGGTCCCTTCATCTGCTGTTGACCTTGGAACCCGGCCTCTCTCCACCCACAATGCAGGAACATGTACAAAACTTAATATTGTATGAGGCCCCAGGGTAATCTGGCCTTAAATTAGAATAAAAGTGTTGTGCTGTATCCTTGCAGAAAATTGGTGGTCCTCTTACATTTTCTTCATGAATCTGTGATTTGAATGTAATTTGAGTTCAATTTATAAAGGACTTAAAAGATTTTAAAAATATTTTATATGAAGTTTTGATTGTAAAAAGTAGCCATTTTTCTTAACATACTCAGTATTTGTTGTGTAATAAGTAAAGATGATGTTTAGCAGTCTGACCCCTTGCTGACATTTTCTTGCATCCTGACTTTCAGGTTGTAGCCGACACCAATATCAGTGCCATAGCTAGCCAATTAGAGAGCATGTCTGCTGGATGTAATCTTAACTCCCCTACTCTTGATTGTCATTCTGAAGATCCAGAGTAAGTATGCACTCTTTGATGTTGGAGTACTCTAGTTCAGAGTACTGCCTAAAGGATACTCAAACATTTCCATTCCCTTGCACAGGCCTGGACAGTGTGTTTGCTCTCTTCTCTTGTCATTTCTTTTTCAACTAATTTTTCAGCACCTTTAAAATGCTCACTATTGTCCTCTACTGGCGAGGAGTGGAACCATACCTGCCTTCATCTGGTAATTCAAGTGTGAAACTTCATGCTTTTGTTTTTGATAGATTTCCAAAAAGCACATCTCCGTAGATTTTCCAGTTGATGTGTTGTCATGATGGTTCTGCTCCTGTTTCGCAGCTTCCTCTTTGAAATGAGTTATGACAACTGCAGTTCAAAATAATCCATCATCTTGGGGATTAAACAAGAAGAGGTTTTTCGAAAGCAGGGGGATTGATGTAAAAGTTCCAAATGTGCATGTATTTTGCAGAGCTTGAAGATATTCATTTATGTTAAAGGGATTCTGTCTTCCATTAGCTTTTTCATTGTATTGTTCCTTTAGTCAATAATAGTAATGCTTAGCGCTGTGGAAAAACAAAAAAATCACAAATATTATCTCAAATTGTTGCATGAATGAGATTTGTCCATGCCTCTCTTGTGTTCTCTTTCCATGAATGTACATCCAGCCAATTTGAACTCTCACAAATATTTGAAAAAAGGGAGTTTTCATTTGAAGTTAAGAAGTTGTGGGAACTATTTTAAGCTTGCACATGCTAATATTTGCATTGCACTTCTCCAGTCAAAGAGCACAAATCAGATTGTTTTGACCAACTCAGATTAGCAAAATATCAAATACTCTCAGTCCATAAAGTTTAAAAAGTGTGTTACGTCTGTAAATTACCTTGTGCTCATGAACTAGTAATGCTTCAAAACACTGGTGAGATAGAGAAGAAAACCCCATTTTTCATATGAGGAAACTGAGATATGAATGATTATGGGCCCAATACTGCATGTTACTCCAGGTTGGTGGACTTCTGAACCTGCACAGAGAAACTTTCAAAACTGGGGACTTTGTGACTTTTTGGTCCATGCTATAAGGCTGTGATTGAGCTGAAATTAGCACTCAGGAGTTCCTGACTTCCAGTTTTACGTTCTGTCCACTAGACAACATTGCCTCTGAAGTCAGGTGATTATGTTGTGTTGCTATGAAATGATGTTGCAAATTCACTTCTCCTAAACTGGGGCAGAAGATGGACTGTCAGGGAGCAAATCTTATTTAAAAACACATAGCAATTGTGTGGGCCTTGCTCCTGAATCACAGTCTGCTATTGGGGAATAATGTACTCTTTTTTTTAATCCTATTAAAGGAAGTATATAAAAAGTGAAGTCAATGGGACTCTACTTAGGTTCACGGGTCCATGTTAGTGCATTCCAACATGGGATCAGAGCCATGGTTTGTGAAATTATGAAAAACATCTTAAAAGGAAAATGGGTGTATCTATTTGAATCTATTTGAAAGTCTGAATCTATTTGAAAGTGTTCCTGCTACAAAAAGACCCTCACTTGCTATATATTGTTCTTCTAAGTGGTATTCATTGTTTTTTCAGGGCTCCTCAGCCTAAGATTATTGCTTTGGAGAAAGGCTCTGATGGCCTGGGTTTTAGTATTGTAGGGGGATATGGAAGTCCCCATGGAGACCTGCCCATTTATGTCAAGACTATATTTGCCAAGGTATCTTTTTTTTTTCCTTTTTGCATATATCTTTTAAAAACCCTAAAATTAGGAACAGATAACAAGTCTAATGCAAAAGAATTGTGTCCCAAACTCATTGTCTGGGTATGTGTGATTTGATCATCACTGCCGGGACCCAAAGCTCACTATCAGCTAGCAAGGATGAGGGAAAAGCTGCTATTTTATTATACTGACATGTGGAAAGAGAGACCTTATCTGAGCAAATACATGTTACTCTGTGTATTTGGGAAATGTCTTTAAAATAATCTGTATAAGGCTTTATTTATTTGTAGGTCTCAAAGTGCTGTGCACCATAGGCGCCAACTTTTCCTGGCGCCGGTGGGTGCTTGCATCCCCTCATCCTCGACCCCGCCCCGACTCCACCCCTTCCCTGTCCCCTCCCGCCCCTGCCCCACCCCCATTCCAACCCCTTCCCCAAAGTCCTTGCCCCTATTGGACTCCTTCCCCAAATCCTCACCCCGTCCCTGCCTCTTCCCCGCCTCCTCCCCTGAGCTCGCCACGTTCCCACTCCTCCCCCCCTCCTCCCACAGCTTCTTTCGCTGCAAAACAGCTGTTTCACGGCGGCAAGCGCTGGGAGGAGAAGCGGGGACGGCGCGCTCAGGGGAGGAGGCGGAGGTGAGCTGGGGCGGCGTTCAGGGTGGGGCGCTGCCGGTGGGTGAAAAGCACCCACCAATTTTTCCCCGTGGATGCTCCAGCCCCAGAGCTGTATATGCTACTTATACACTTGTGCACAGCATAGGCGCCGACTCTGTGGGTGC